GTTCAATTTTAAACGGAAAGTAAAAGTGATATCTTTGATTTGTGCGTTGTTATGCATGTAAATATGAATGTTCAAGTGTTAGATATGTAAATGTAAAAGAATTAGGTGGTATTTACGTAAATGTCCCTAAAAATTATTAAAAATGAGGATTTAAATTTCATATTAAAAAACATAAAAATTTATTATAATAATTAAAATTGCATAGTTATTTTAAACTATAATGACTAAGAAAACACCAAAATAGAAACAATATATATATATATATTTACAAAAGCAAAAGGTTCATCGGGTAGCTCTCAATTATAAATTGGACGTACTTTTGATTTTACTATTCTAGGCTTTAGGACTCACTATTTAATAAAAAATGGGCATTTACATGCATACCACTCAATTCCTATGTATTTACATATCTAGCTCGAAAATTTTAATTTTTACATTATCCAACTAAATATTTCATAAGTATAAAAAATAACATAATGGTAATTTTTAAGAGATGAAATATACCTTCTCATGCATAAGGGGGTATATGTGTAAAAATTAAAATTCAGGTGTCAGGAATGTAATTACATAGGAATTGAGTGATATATATGTAAACCTTTAATTATTTGATGGATGGGTCATTGGACTGAATTTGAATATAGGTTTGCAAATGGGAAAAAATTTGCATGCGATAGACGTACGCAGCGCTGTGTACGATATTGGGTTATACCGAGAGTACAAGGGGGTTACATCCGCCGATCAGCGGTATAACCCCTTATAACTTCCCTGTAACATTCTGTAACTTACATGTAACTTACTGATAAATTCTTAATATATGATAACAAAAGCGTGAAACTTATTTTAGGTTACAGATAGGTCTTGAAATTGGATTAAGGGTTGAACCTTCAATACTGGCATATTTGCTGCACTTTAATTTTTTGTTTTTAGTATATTTTGGTTTTATCTAGCTTCTATTTCATATTTCTAGATGATACGTTTGGTACTGTTTTGATTTATCTGTTCTTAAAAACAAAATTTATGAACATGATTGAGGTGAGTTGTATTATATATTTTTTATTGTTTTTTTTTCTAAAAATAAAATGCACTTTCTATTGTAGTTGCTCCTTAGTTAGAACTACCATGAATTTATGCTTCTTTAGTAAAATAAAAAAAAAATAAGTTACCTTAGGTACGAGTTATCTTTTATCGAGTGATCTTTGAGTCTTCTATAGGCCTTAAGTTATTGTTGGTTTTGAGCTGCTCCTATAGAATTTGTTGCATGGGGGTCTCGAGTCTTCCAGATAGAAAATAGTTCACAACATCTCGTCAAAATGACTTTTACTCCCTTAGATGTTTTTTTCCCATTATTATTCTTTGACCCTTGAGTTTTAGAACTCAACTATATTTCTTTTGACTTCGTCTTGTCATAGAAATGATTGATCTTTGAGTTCTTCTGAAGGTTTAATAAATTTTGTAAGCCTTCATTATTCACTATTAACTAGTATTTCAATTCCGATTCTTTAAAATTTGAAGCATCGTGGACTTGTTGGTTGAGCACTTTTTATTTAATGGGAAGTACTACTTTCACCCCATGAGGTATGATGAAAGGAGTTTAGCCAGTAGATGTTGAGAGTGTAGTGGGGGTGCCCACAATACGTACGATAACACTTCAATCCTTTTTTTTTGCTTGTTGTAACTTCTTTTTTGAGTAAGTTAAAGATAAGTTTGTTGGTTGCTTCTATCTAGTCCTTGGTTTTAGGATGATGTATATATTTATTTATTTATTGGCTACTAAAAAATTTATTCACCTTCTTATCAACAAATTGGTATCTTTACCTATAATGATAATCATGAGCAGGGCATATCTACATATGTCAGTTCATATGTTGTTTATGACTACATCAGTTGTAATTTTGGCCGAAGGTCTAGCTTTGATCCACTTTGATAAGTAATCGATCATGATAATAATATATTTTCTCTATCCCTTGCAGGAGGAAAGGGTCCTAAGAGGTCCATATCCCATACAATGAAAGGTGATAAATATTGTTCCATGGCAATTCATGACAATTGTAACCACATGGGAGCAAACTTATCACACCTTTTAGAGAATTCATTGACATCTTTTCCTAGGTGTAGAACAATAGTAGCTTTGCATGAGAATTTATTTGTAAGGGTCCTTCATCTAGAATCTTTTTTGCACTATTCTGACTTATTTTAGAACCTCAATGATTTTAATATCATTGCCTTTATTATTGTCGAGTTAAAGGAGATGTTTTTGTACATTCTACACAACTCATGGATAACAAGTTTGGAATTAGATTAAATCTCCCCAAACTATGATTACTTGCATGTGGTTGAATATATTACACCAGTGAATGCCACTGCCTTGAAAGTGTTCAGCACCAGCCTACCAAAATGGCATCATACGTGTTCGGATCTTCCATGATGATGAAGTCAGTCAATGATGTGTAATGACATTCTCCATCTCCCTACTTCCCATGCAAGGTGATTATCCACAGTTCACTTTTCTTTTGCGAAATGATCTCTTCTACCAATTAGGGGCTATGAGCATTTTTTTTTAAATACACTTTTGAAAAGAACATTGACGGAATTGCATGTGTCAACCAAAATAATCTCAATATGGTAATATATAATTACTGCGGTGACTATAATAGTGTCGTTGAAGGGGTCAAGTCAATAAACAAATAGACCTTTATTAAAATGACATGAGGATGGATTGGTGTCATGCACTTTAATCAAGATGGTTGAGTAGACCTCCACAATTTTAATCGCCTTAAGCCGAACCTTCATGAAGCTTTAGGTGCATCTCCTCCAAAGACGCTAGCGATATGTGCCAGTGTCACCAGAGCAAAATCATTAAAGTGTCTTCAATATGTGACTTTCCTTGCTTTCAAGTATTTGCTTTAGTGGCCACAAAATTTTTCAATTTTTTTTTCCTTTTATCATTTATTCGATAAGGCTGTAGATGTGTCAGTATTCATCTATATCGCTATGATATGCATGGTATTGTTTGAGAATACATGCATGACTTCCCGCCTTTATGAAATGAATTTTTGAAGAAGTATTTATTTTGGATACCCTCGACGATCTCAACTGTCGACGCTTTCAATGGTGTAACTTTGATAGGAGAGAACCAAGATGTCTCTTGCCTCATTTCATATCTTCTTTTGCTAGTCTTCTATTAGTGTCTTCCAGCTCACGCTGTTGAAAACACTTGTCAGTAGCATTCCAAAAATTCTTCCTACCAAAAGGAATTCATTGGGTTCCAGTGGTCTTTACAAATCTTGTTTTGAAACTTCCCTTTAGGTATCTGCAATCTGGAAGAGTCCGGCTAAGAATTCTATTCCTCAACAGAAATCTGATTGTTTGTAAGCTCCAGGAGCTCCGCTAAACTTCTTGGCTTTTGTAATCCAAGCGTTTTCTTGAATGGACCTTCACGCAGCCTCAAGCCATGTGAGCAACAATCAGTTTCAGGTCTTGAACATCCAACATCTCTCACTAGAAACGTGTGATGAACTTTCTAAGACTTCCAATGAGGTTTTGAAGGATCTTTAGAAGAGCTCAAAAGTTCTTAGATGATTTTGCATGTTAATGAACTGGGCTATGAATATGCGCTTGAACTCTCCAAAAGAGTGATGCTACAACTAAGTGTTGAACCAACTTAAGACTGGTTCTTTCAATATCATAAATAATTAAAAATATCTTAGAGCATCATTTACCTTTAATAGATAAACAATTGACCCAAAAAAGCTGCATGGTCAGTAGATTTTGACTTCTCTTTATAAGATTCCAATGATATAATTTTGAACTTCGTTGGCGCTTCGACCTCCAAAATTTTTCCTTAAAAGTGTGTTTCAAATGGCGTTTATCTCTTTTTGGATCCTTCATCTGAGGATTTAGAAGGTTCTCATTCTGGGAAGTAAAATTCTTCTTCTTCTTCCTCCTCCTCTTCTTCTTCTTCTTCTTCTTCTTACCAAGGTGACTTTACCAAGGTGACTTTTCTTCTTCCTCCTCCTCTTCTTCTTCTTCTTCTTCTTCTTACCAAGGTGACTTTCTCCTCGGTGGTCCTTATCTTGATGTTTCTCGTTGACAACCATCGACCCAGATGATCCCGTATGTATCATAGGACGAATCCTGAAACAAGATATTGAGGTTTCTTGTTTTGAATTTTGTATAACTTCTCGGGAGTTCTCTTAGCTCTTGATCTGATGTGTCACAAACTTGTCGATAGAATCTATCATTGTTTTTTGTTTTTCTCTACGCTAGAAGGACTCTTTTGCAGAGTTTGAATATGAACGTCTACTCACTGCATCTTTTAAGAAGTTGAATTTTCTTAAGAAAAAGAGTTTCATATTATTCGTGAGTTTAAGCAACCCGATAAAGACCTTACTTCTAAGATGAATGTATGGAAAAAGGTGATAGATGTATTGCTAAGTTTTATGTTTCTCGCTCTATATTTTCTTAGGATCCAAGGGGTAGCCGAGAAGGGCTCAAAAGAAAGGATCAGTGTTTCTTGGTCATTAGAGAGAGAAAGAGAGGGATAGAGTATAGTTTTTTTGGAGAGAATGAGAAAACCCCCATCGATCCCCTCTCACCTCCAATTTATACGAGAGAGAAAATGAATATGAAATCACATATCGTAACGTACTACACATGTCCAAGATGTCTTCATAAAAATATTGCGATATGGGTAGGATGCACTCATGTACTCTTATGTAATGATAATTTTATCTGGCGGCGAGTATGTTCCTAACTAGGTCGATCATTTTGACAAGTGGACTTAGCTCAAGAACCACTTCGGTTGGTGAACTCAGCTCAACCGGTTCGACAAACGGGCTTAACTCGACCACTTCACCATGTGAGCATGATATGGTGAACCTTTGAGGCCCATGAATTCTGATATTTTACACATGTGCAAAGCTTCCCTAAGTAGGTATGATCATATTTTGAGTATACAAGTTTATAACTAATGATAATTTGATTTTTGATCCCATTTGTTATATATATATTCGTCCCAGGCAAACGCAGCTTCGCGTTGCATCCAAGCTTTTGGATATTTCAGAGTGAAGACAGGTAGCGGAGATGGAGAACGAGTTCCAGGTCTGGCATTTTCCCTCTCTGCGTAGGGTTTTACTCGAGCAAGCTTTTCCATTTCTGTAAAGCAAATTACGGCGCATTTTTCCTCTCTTTTTGATTCAAAAAATTGAATTGCGATTTCCGATGCCATGCTGGTGAGAGAGTAAAATTGGCAGCTAGATGAAGATCGAGTTTTATATACTTATAGAAAGTTTATTTTTTATGGTTTACAGTTGGGAATTATTAAAAATTCTGGAACTGATTAAAGTGGACTGGTTAGGAATGTCGGTGATTCTTCTAAGCTGATGTTTTACTTAAATTGCCTTCAGAACGTTGGCCTAAGAGGATGCGCTTTTTGTGAGCGACTGGATCGATGACACGCTTTCTCATTTGAAGTGATTATGAGCTAGATCCTTATTTGAGTCTGTTTTTCTTGTCAATCTAGGGTTTGATAGAGTCATCTATTGTACAAGGAAGCCTTGTATTTCTTTTAGTCTCAGAATCTAAAATATTTTGAAATCATTGCCTTTGATCTCTCAATAGATGGATGTAAAAAGGTGAAAACGAGCAATCCTGAAGGTTCTTAACAATAGCTTCTGTAAAACATAACTTAATTAAGATTAAAATAATACTCGGGCCGATTGTATGTCACATCTTGGATCTGGAAGCGATAACACAATGAAAGCATATAAACCTCTTTTGTACTATCAAAAGAAAAAAGGTATATACAAACAAGATAAATAGTAAGAGTAAGCAAATGAAAATACATTTTATTTTAATCTATAAATAATAGCCCAACCACTGATTGTAAGAATAACAGTAAACTAAGAGGGAAAAAAAATCAACACGACTAATAAATAAGCAAATTTATCCAAACTCAAAGAAAATACAACTAGAACTAATACATAAACTTGAAATACCAAAACAATGTCTGATGCTTAAAGATTTGCTCATGTAGTGAAGGGCCACAAAGTAGTTTGGTTGAAATTGCTGCGAAAAAGGTTATGACAAATGAGTTTGATGAATCACGATGTGGAAGTTACTTGGAAAGGAAAATTGCTTAATTTTATTATTCACATGGAGGATAAATATATAGGGACACCAATCCCTCCTAATTTATGAACTTGCTAAATATATTTATCTTAAATTAGAAAAGAAAATAATTCTGAAATAAAGTTAAAGAAGCATAAATAGGAAATGAATAAACACAAATCAAAAGGTTTCCAAGTTGATCTCCAATCAACTCTCCTATTAGATCTTGGATAGTTGGTCAGTCCATGCTAGGAAACACCACTCAAAACTTCTCAGGTTTCCACACCCCTCCTCAAGCTGGGTTGTAGATGTTGTAGAGACCAAGCTTGTTATTGAACTCTAAGAAGCTGCTTAAAGGAAGAGCTTTGGTGAAAACATCAATAAGTTGCTAGTGTGTCGGGATGTAGCTTTGATGTATAATTCCAATATTGACCTTTTTAGAGTTGAATTATCTATCAACTTCAAAATGCTTGGTTCTGTCATGATCATAAGATTCTTGACAATACTGATAGTCGTTTGACTGTCACAAAACATCTGTATAGGCCTATTGGAGGTACTTCCTAGTTCCCTTAGCAATTTTAAATCCAAATTCCTTTACAGGTTTTCAAGGTAAGTGCTCTATACTCTGATTCTACACCAATTCTAGAAACATCAACTTGCTTTTTTACTTCTCTATCTAACCAAATTTCCCATACATATGAGTAGCAACACGTGGTGAACCTTCTATCAGTGAGTTTCTTAGCCCAACCAACATTAGTGTAGACTTACATCTCTCCATACTGATTTTCTCAAAAATTAATCCATAACCAGTTGTTTTTTTATAGATCTCGAAATCATGTATATCATCTCCAAATGTTCTTCATTTGAGTTATTCATGTGCTAACTTACAAGACTGATAGATTATGCAATATTTGGCCTAGTATGTGACAGGTAAATGAGTTTTTCTACCAATCATTGATATCTTTTTTTTATCAACATTATTGGATCCTAAATTGTCTTTAGAAAGTACACGCCTCAAGAGTTATAGCCTAGAGAAGGAGAGAGTAAAGCAGATAGGGAATTCCGTGGAGAAAAGTCCTTGATTCATATTTTGACCTCCTATTTATAAGGCTTAATTGTACAATTATGGAAAGGAGGGAACAATTATGGTAACCACTTTAAATGTAATTAATGCGCTAATTTAGTATCAGATTTGCGTTATAATTTGAGTGAAGTACAACAACTATTAGTCGGTAGACGCATTAGGTTCGATTGACTGAGGCGGTTGGTCGCTTGAAGGTCGCTCCCATCGAGGGAAAACGTTTGGCCTACTGGTTACCTGACGGCCCTATAAGAAAATTAGAAAGTTGGGACCACAAGCGAAGTCCAACAACTGGATCTGTCGACATCGTATCTCGGTTGTTTCAACCGAGCAGCCTGTTGCCAGAATTCAATTGTTTAGTCATCATTCTTAGCAGCTCGTCCTTTTGAGATTCGTGCTCACAGTTTTGGTGCATACACACTTATAATTTCTTCTTCCTTCTTAGACTTCTTGTGTGCTCCATTGGAATTTCAGCAGGTTTGTCTCCTCGACATTGGGAAGGGGCAATAAAGTTTTTTATTTCATCTGTGATATAAAAATGCATTTTTTGGATTAAGCTACCTCTGTACATAGAAAATATCTCATGTTTTCTAGTATTTTAGTTTCAAATTCAGTGGCAAACACTTCTTTTATTTTAAGAATTTTTTCATCATCACTGGTAGGAATCATGTTAGCCACATCCATGATCAATGCAACAATTTTATTTTTGCGAGTATGTTTTATTAACAATGTGTGATCAGCTCGACTTTGAGAATATCCATTGAATTTTGCAGTTTTAGCAAATCTTTCAAACCATGCCATTGTTAATTGCTTAAGCCTATAGAGAGATTTCTTAAGTTTGCATGTTGAGATCTCAACGTACATTTTTTCTTTCAGATCCCTATTCAGGAAGATCTTTTTAATTCAAGTTGATGTAGTCCCCATTCCTTGTTAACTGCTACTAAAAAGAGATCACTAATAGTATTCAATTTGATAACTAGCGTGAAAGTTTCTTGACAGTCAATCTCATAGGCTTGCGTGAAATTTTTTGCAACAAGTCTGGATTTGAATCTTTCAATACTCTCATTAACTTTGTATTTGTTAAACATCCACTTGCATCCAACTGGCTTCTTATCTTAAGCGAGTTTAGTAAGAATTCATGTGTCATTATGTTGTGGCGCTTGAATCTCCTCTTTCACTGCTTTCTTCCATTCTGAATTTTCAAGAGTTTTATGAATTGATTTAGGAATCTGCACACTCTCAATTTTAGATGTAAACACTCTATGGATAGCTTCTTATAAGCTACATACTCTTGAATTGGGTACTAGTACCTTTTTCTTTGTCATCAACACTACAATAGGAAGTGAATAACTCATGAGTACTAGACTCATCACTCAAAATTTCAGGTAAATGTGGTTTTTGGATTTTGGTTAGAGTAGTACTATCTTTGCAAGTTGTATTTCACTTGCTCAAGGTTTTCTTTCTCCCACTATATACACGTGTTCTTTGCTGTGGACTTCAGATTGGGTTGGTTAGATATCCTCAACAAGAGTAAGAGAGTCAGATGGGTTGTCGTTTAAGTGTCACCAAGTGCATCATAAAATTAATTTTCACTTGCACTCTTCCCCTGAACATCAGATTTGAGATAGTATGATTAATTTTCAAAATATATGATATCCATGAAGTTGTAATATTTTATGGTAACATATGAGTAACACTTATACATCTTTTTGTTGGAGGCATACCCAAAAAAATATACTTGATAGATTTAGAGTCAACTTTGGTGCAAGTTGGGAAATGGATATGAACAAAGAATACACACCGAAATATTTTTATTGGTATAGTAGAGAAAGCTTTGATCCGAGGATAGGTAACCATCAAAATATGAGCAGTGTTTTGAAGTTAAGTACCTGTTTAGGTATTCAAAATATAAGATATGTTGCATTAAGAACTGTTTTTCCCCAAAAATATTTGAAACTTGATGAGAAATCATAATTGAGCGAAATATTTCAAGGGGATGCCTGTTTTTTTCTCTGCTATCCAATTTCGTTGTAGGACATCAATACATGAACTCAAATGGATGATTCCATTTTTTGAAAGGTAGTATCCAATGATGTAGTTGAAATATTTATTTAGATTATCAGTTTTGAGGATCTGAATTGTGCATTAGAATTGAGTTTGAATTATTTTATAGAATGTTTGGTAGATTTGAGTTGTTTTAGATTTATCTTTCATTATGAATACCTAAGTAGTTTTAGTATGATCATTAATAAATGAGATAAACCATCTAGCCCACTTAGGGTTTTCACTTTTGAAGATCCCCAAATATCACTGTGGATAAAGGAAAAATAGCATGAGGGTTTATATCGAGTCATGAGATAACTATTTTTAGTGTGTTTGATAAGTTGACGAATCTCATATTGATAAAAATTAAGTTTTTTTATTGATAAATAAATGAGGTTACAACCTAATAACATACTTGAAAAATGTGACAATGTCATAACATGACTTGTTTTTCAATAGACATAGACTAGAGAGGCTTGAAAATTTGAGATAAATATGGAGTTGGGATCAGATGTGTTTTTGAACCTTTGATGCATTTCAAAACTGCTCATCACCGTTCTTTATTTCACCACTTGAAATTCATAAGAGTTTGCAAGAAATTTAGTTTTACATTTCATATAATAGGTATGCTTACTAACTGAAATAAAATTGCACTCCACTGTGAAATATATAAAATAGAGAACAGAGTAATATCCTGAGAAATCTCCACATTTTCTTTCCCAGCAATGTTTGAGTGTGATCCGTTTGCAAGTCTTACTGATCTAGATATTGAAGACTCTTGATAGTTGACTTGAGTATTAATGTCTCCAATCATATGATCAGTTGCTCCTGAATTTATGATCCAAGTTCTAAATCTCCCTCTACTGAC